ATTTCCTTATAAATATTTTGAAATAATAATGCAAAATATCATCTGTGCTTATTTTACTAAAATTAGAACATTATCACCAAGTGAAACACTTCAGATCATTTACATCGTGAAAAGAATGAATGTAATTAAAATTACAATGCATTATTACTAGCTAGTTAATTTTTATTTATGCATCTATTATTTCATGAAACCCAAAGTTAGAAGATAGTACCATACAACATGACCCCCCCCCCCCCTTCATTTTGTTCCAGTGGTAATTTAAAAAAAAACTTTTCAGCCATGTTACTGGTACCACCACGTAGGGATATAATTAAGATTTTGGGCTCAGTTAAGTTAAAAACTTTAACTGGCTGATCTTAAACCAAATTATGTTGATTAGCATAATGAAATTAACACTGAGTGGTGGTATTTAATAGACCTGATAACCTAACTGATAGGTTAAAATCCTAACCTGGTCTGTTTTTAGTTTTTAAGAGTGATTTGAAATGCCATGACCTACCTTTAAGAAATTTACTGTTTTATGCCAGTGGTTTTAAACGTGTATTAACTTACAAATATTACAACAATAATATTAGCTTAATTTTCACACTTACATCTGAATCAAAAGTGCTGCTGTTATGCCCAGAGATATGGAAAATGTTGTATAAAAACTTTCCACAGAAATGCATATAGTTTGATAAAACTCTACAATTTTATCATAAGAAATTACAAGGTAAATATTTTGGAGGCTTGTGTGAGTAGGTTATAATAAGTTTCAAAAATTTCTACATCCAATTGTATGTACTATTCAATAGGGATAAAATACATCATAGTTGAATTTGTCATTTGACACTAATAGGAAGAAAGTGTTAACCAGACATCAAATCTTGACTATTTATTTTTTCTGAGGTTCCACAAAGTGGGGCCAAGTAATAATAATAACCTATTGACTTAAGAACATTTAATGTACACAGTGTGCATTAGTTTGTTTTTTTTATCTAGAGATTTGTAGTTTTCTTATGTAAACTTTGGTATAGTCACATTTCTTTCTTCTCTTAAAGGGAGGTGTATTATTTTATTATAGGTTAGAATATATTTTTAAAATGGGTACAGTGTACATGAGAATGATTGCACCAGTGATTGAAACGTTGTATCTGTTTTAAAAATATTCTTTCGTACTGTAAAAGCTGTATCCTGTAATAATACTAAAAAAACATAATTTGGTAAGAGAAATGAAAATATGTAATAATTAAACAGTAATGGAATCAGCTCAGAAGATGTATTCTAACACTAATTAGTCAATTTGAAATTAAACGATAATGTAATAAAAGTCCCAAACATAACCCAAAAATAAAGTATCTCTTGTTGTTGAATTTTTTTTTCCCTTTAATTAACATTACTTTAACTTTTACTACCCTAATTTTTTTTTTGGTAAATCTGTCTAATCAATATCATGTAGAAACAGAATTGTAGAATGAAAGACACTTACAAAAACTAGGTACGGCAAGACATCAGAATTAGTGATTTGATCGGTGTTAGTTTTTACAAACCACGCTATGTGTGAACGTTTCTGGTTTCTTATTTTATCATCTTTGGACACTTTCCTTAAAACTGACTTTTACAGTATCATCATATTTGGCAGTCAAAGATCTTGTTATTATTGTATAAAGTATACATAATAAGTATACATATTTACCCATTGAAGAACTGAATACTTTTTAATGATCCAGCATTTAGATGGGCTATCTGCATTATGCTTGCTGCAAGTATTGAACCTTGCATTTTAACATCATAAGCCCTTAAGCTTACTGCTATTATAGGGTCCCCTTGTTTTGAATTTTAAAGTCATATAACACTATAGATATTGACCACTTTTAATTTGGTTGGAATAACACTATAGATATTGACCACTTTTAATTTGATTGGATTACTGGTGCATGGTTGGATGACAACCATTTCAAAGGAAAAAACTTTCATACTGTTTAAAAATGCAAAAATAGAGAAACATTATACAGAAAGCTATTTATATGTATTAACATCAAGTTTTAAACAATCTCCCAAGATTATTTTCCATTACATGTATTAGCAATATTTTTAATGCTTTAAAAAATTCATTTTACTATAGTCTCAAGGGATAGATTAGTGTAACCCAGTTTTGTATAATAAGGTACTTATGAAATAATAATTAGATCTTCCAAGAGAAGAAAATATTTTTCTTTTCATTCATACCACAGATTATTATCTTGGAGCAAGTGTTATACCCCAAAATATTTTTTTTATAACCCCATTTATGTTGTGCTTTATAGTAGTAAACTGTGATATAAAAGGTTATAAACTTATTCAGTATAGTGGGTGATATCATCAAAAAGTATTGCCTTAACAAAAGAAATATTTGTGCTTAGCTAGTGATGTCTTATATAAATATATTCATAAAAGAAGGGTAATCACCTCCTTATCAGTTCCAGTGTGAGACTTAAAGCATGGACCAAGTATGAGGGAATGTATAGTGTTGATTTTTTTTAATTCCACGAATAGCCACCAATAGCAGAATTTACTTGCTTTCAACCAACATGTGTACAACATTCCTTTGTCTGTAACGTAAAGCAC